CTGCTCTGTGCATGATAGGGGACGGCTCCCCAACTCCCCAATCGGCCCTGCTCTGAGCCCGACCAGGGGCTGCACCTAGGGATTGGGCCTGCCCTCTGCCCCCCGGGAGCAGGCCTAAGCCAGCAGGTCATTATCTCCCGAGGGGTCCTAGACTGCAGGAGGGCACAGGCCGGGCTGAGGGACCTCCCCCGCCCCCCGAGTGCACAGATTTTTGTGCACCGGGCCTCTAGTTAATATATGAAACATACTTCTAAGTAAATAGTGTTAGTTTTTCAAGTGAGTCCTTACACAAAGTTAGAATATTTTCATTAGAGATATATAAAATACTAAACTGGTATGAAACTAATGATTGTCTCAGAAATAAAGCAAAAACCAAGAAAATCATTCAGAGAAAAACGTACAAATCCACATTAATAGAAGAGTATCTTAAAACATTACTTCCACTAACTGAAAGATGAAAAATACAAACTTAGTAAGGATTTATAAGAATTGAATGAAACTATTAACAAACATAATCAGATATATAAATATATAACGTATACTATATATGTATATATAGCTTACAATAAGTGAATACAAATATTCACCAAGCTAGTCTTCAAAGACACCAAAAAATTATTATCACATAAGGTATTTTATCTGATCATAATATACAACAAAATAAAAAATAGAACAATCATCTTAGGTCCTCTGTACATTGAAAAATTTTAAAATAACTTCAAGGATAAAAAATAAATCATAATAGAATTAGGTGATATTGAAAACTGAATAGCAATAACAAAATTACCTCAAAACTTGTGGGAAACAGCCAAAGAAATATTTAGATAGAAATTTCCAGTCTTAAATGCATATAATAGAAAAACATATGTTCAATCACGGAATGCGATCAATTTATTCTAAAATTTATTTAAGGGTTTAATAAGGGAAAAATATAGTCAATATATTTTGGGGAACATGAATCCAACCAGATATCAACACTTAACAAAATTATAGAAGCTCTAAGAGTGTATTGTTGGGAAGCAGATAGGTAAATTTACCAATGGAGCAGAATGTAGGGGGACTTATTTTTATGACAAAGTAGACATAATTCAGCGAAGAAAGGTTGGCAAAGATTCACCCTCAAAAATATAAAATTACCTCTCTATTTTAAGCTATATACAAAATCAACCTCAAGTAAATTAAAGATCTAAATGTGAAAGGCAAAATTTCACATATTTTTAGAAAAACTTTTAAATGAAATTATAATAAAACATCTTTCCAGTCTTGGGATAGTAAAGAAATTCCAAAGAAGACATAAAAGCATAAGCCACATGGTAAAAGGTTGACTAATTCTAGTAGCACAGGAATTTAAAACTTCTGTGTATATTGCAAACACAGTGAAAAGACAGGCTACAGATAAATGTTAATGTATTTAAAAGGATTATCAAGAATAGATTATGCCTTTAAATCAATATGAAAAAGATAAACAACTAAATAGAAAAATAGGAGAGTTTAAGAAATTCATTCCAGCAAATCAAGAGAAAATTCATAAAAGAGGAATCCTGAATGGCTAAGAAATATGAAAAGACCTTCATTTTCATTTGTAATCAAGGAAACACAAAACAAAAAGTATGAAAAAAATTAAATGTTTGATAATATCAAGTACTGATTTGTATTTGAGAAAATGATAACTGCATGATTTCTGATGGAAGAGTTATACTTTATAGAGCAATCTGACAATACAAAGAAGAGTTAAAATTGCACATATCTTTGATCCAGTTATTCCACTTTTAGTCATCAACCTAGAGAAATATATATCCAAAGAGAAACAAAAAAGGATGTTGTAGTATTTTATATTAAGAAAATGAAGACAATTAAACTTCCTTTAATATAAGAATAATTTTTAAAAAGAAAATATTTATATAATGAATATAGATACAACTGTTTAGATATACACTGTATAAAAATTAAAAATAATATTGAACAAAAAATGCAAATTGCCAATGGATACCTGTAATATGTAATATGTTGTCACTTTTTAAAATCTTACAGCACACAAAACAACTTTATGTCTCAACTTTATGTGAGAGATACGTAGAAAAATATAAACATATGCAAGAGAGCTATACAACCGGGAATCTTATACACGCCAACCATTAGAGAGAAAAAGGGGAAAGGATAAGGAGTTGGATACTTAATGTTTTGTTTCTTTAAATAAAGAGAGACTTGAAGCAATTATGGCAAAATGTTAGCATCCTTAAACCTGTAAAGAGGGGTATTCTAGTAAGCATGTCTTTTAAATACTTGTTTTTTGCACTTCTTTATATGTTTGTGATAGCTCCTAATTTTTTTAAAAAAATGCTAAAGATTGTTCTAATGGTAGGGCAGGTAATAGATTAGAGGAGAACCAGAGTGAGTACAAGAACAGTTATCAGGCTACAACTCACAGTATCTGGTATAAAAGGCCAAATGATTGGTTGACTGGCAGACCAGCTGACAACTGGCCGGTAGTTATGACATGTGCTGATCACCAGGGAGCAGACACTCAATGCAGGACCTGCCGAGTGACAGCAACTTTGCAGAGTGCCCTCTTGCACTCCCGGACCCCTTGGGGGATGTCGGACAGCTGGTTTTGGCCTGATCCCTGCTGGCCAGGCTGAGGGACCCCATCTGCAAGTCCTTCAAGCCCCAGGTGCGGGCCAGCCGGAAGGAACCGCAGGAGGTTGGCTCCAGGGTGTGTCTGGCCCTCTCGCTCTTTCTCATCCCTTTGGCCACCTTCAAATTAATTTCCTTTCAATGTGCACCAATCCGTGCACCAGGCCTCTAGTATTTAAATAATTTAAGTGTTTGCTTATATATTTAATTTATGGAAAGCCAATCTAAACTCTTCAACATGATGCAGGACGTACTACAAGCACACTTTCCCAAACTCACCTGCTCGACCTCTCTACTGAGGGCATCTACCTTTTCTTTTAATCTGCTACCCTCTGCCTCAGCAGTGATAAGTTCTAATTTGAGGGTATTGTTATCTGCCTCTGCTTGCCGTGCCTTATTTTCCCAGTTTTCAGCATCTTCATTGGCTTTTCGGAGTTGGTCCATCATTTGTTGGTTCTCAGATTCCTGAAAAGCAAATCTTAGGTAGCAGAATTATGGGTACAGCCTCTCCTAACTTCTTTCTCTCCTTCTGATTTTCTTACCCTTCTGATTTGTTCTTCCTAACATCTCCAGAATAATCTTTCTAAAAGGTAATTCTTCAAATAACTTGTTTAAACAAAAGCTTCCTGAAATGGCGTTCAAACAAGTCCTTCTTACCTGTTATCACCCACCTATACATGCCACTCTAGCTACAGGACCTACTATTTCCCCTAACACCTTTGCTGATGTTGTCCCCACTGCCTTGGGTGCCATTCTGTTTCCTTTCAGTTTTCATCTCTGGCACCTCTGCACCTAGCACACTGCATGCTGAATGGATGAGTGAATGAAGAATGCACCTGACAATTCTTACTAGGCTATCAGTCGTGCTTTGTGCTGTCTAGGGCAAGAGGTGCCTGGATCCATCCAATGGTGCTGTGAAATGAAACCCAGTGAAAGAACTCATACTCGCATGCTAAAAACTAAGAGAAACTTGATGTGTGATGTCTGAAAACACAACTCCAGAATCTAAAAGCCCCAGTCCTTAATGGTGACATTTCAGGTAACCTGACAGGGTAGGGAGAAAAGGGGAACTGTCTTACACTAATTCAGCGTTAACTATGTTCAATGTTGCTAAGATGTTCATTTATTTATATTCTGCCCTATTCCAGAATAGACTTAATGGATCATTGTGCTAGATCTGCTGACAGACTTGGGTGTTCTTCCCAGTTACAGAGGGGACACTGAGACTCAGAGAGGTTGAGTTTCCTACCTAAGTCCATGCCATTAAGAGAAGAGGAGTCAGACCTATCTGATTCCAGAGCTTCTGTCCATTCATGATATTACATGCTGGCATCTTAAAACCAAGAAGGGTGGGAAATGCCTGCTTGGTCAACGTAAGCTCACTGCTTTATTGCCTGAAAGCAAGGATTGCAATTTAGGAGTCCTTACACTATCTATCAACGTCCTAAGCAATCTAATGACCACCACAAATAAATGCACTACATATGTTTGTAGACTGATATGAAATATGTTAAATAAGGAAAACAATTGTTTTGGGGAAGGGCGATTCCTATTAATGGTTTCAGTGGTATGTAGGTAACAAACACTACACCTATTATAATCTAACCATACTTTTTAATCAAAAAAACTACACTATTTTAGATAGCATTTTACTAAATGAACATATCTAACATCATTCATCAAGGCCTCTGTTTATTCCAGGATTGTCACACATGCACTGAAATTTACTTTAACCATCCATGCACCTGGTCAAATGGTTACTGACAGAGCAGTGCTGAGGAGCGCCATCTGCCTTCTGGTCCTAAGAAACAGATAGCCTCACAATAGCATGATCAATTCTGATCTGCTACACAACGTAGAGCTTCTTTTGTCCAAGTTTGTACTTGGAAACTCTACCATTTTCAAATATGAATGAAAGTTGAAGCTGGGCCCCTGTCCTTTACCCAGTTAGGCAGATTCTACATATCTAGAATGGCTGAGTAGCAAGCTAAAAGGGGGCATATTCTTGAATTACCTTTCTGAACATTGGTGATGTTCTAAATATATAGTTAACCCAACAATGAGAACACTAAATGCTATGCATTAAAAAAGACTTGATTCAGCTCTCCCAATGAGTATAACTTATCAGGAACTTTATTGAAAACTCAGTTATCATGAGAAAGGAGGGAAAAATGTATATACGTACTTCAGACTTTAATATATTCTTCAGCTTGTTAACCTCCAAATTAGTATCTTGGACCTTCTGTTTTATATCATTAAGTTCATTATGAGTATCTTTCAATTGTTTAGACAGGGCCTATGAGAAAAAGATAGCTAAATTTGACTAAAAAAATAAAAAATGAAAAATTCTATATTTCTAAATCCCCATAAATTTTAAAATAATTATTACAGTTAATATGCCTAATATATAAAGCTCATATAAAAACAGGGAGAAAATGTGAGTCCAAACTGTAAACAGGCGAAGAACCCAAACAGATAATTCATAAAAAGGAAGCACAAGTGGACGATAATACTTTAAAAAGTTAAAAATTTACTAGTAATCAAAGAAATGCTAATTAAGACAATAAAATACTATTTGCCTATAAATTAGTAACGATTTGAAGCTATTCTGTTATGGCAAAGAATGGGCATTTCCACATATCATTGGAGTAAATGTAAATTTGCAATAAGCAAACCTGTGGTCTGCTATCTGGTGATATATCAAATATGTTTTTTTGTTTGTTTGTTTTTTATTTTTTTTTATTGCTTAAAGTATTACAAAGGGTATTACATATGTGTCCATTTTTTTCCCCCGGCCCTAGACAGTCCCCTAGCAAATATGTTGTTTTTTGTTGAAGATAGGAGATATATACGTATGTATTCATTATTTGAAAATGTCCACCTAATTTTAAAAAACTTCATAATCTGTGATTCAATTTGAAATTAAATCTAGCAAAATGTAATGAAAGGAATGTTCATTAAGGCATTATTCGTTATAGCAACAATATTTTATTCACATTAAGTGAATGATGCAGCAAATAATAGTACCTACATAATGATATAACTACATAGATATTATGCCTCCATAAGAAATGCTTGAAGTAACTTTTAATAACAGAGGAAAATGTCACCAATAGTGAAAAAAATCAGAATAAAATACTAAAAATACCTCATCCCAATTTGTTAAAAATTGTGGTACTCAGGGTGAAATTTTTTTAAGGTTTCTGTTTTCCACATCTTCTGTGATAAGGGTTCTTAATCTGTGGTCCACAAAGGAATACATCTTTTACCCTTGGGCCCATGACCCAAACGAAGGAAAAAACTATCTTGAACATATGAAAATTGTTATGAAGCCAATTTTCTTCTGATTATAAAAAATGTTTATAAAACTTTAACAAAGCAGGTAAATGCTTATAGTGTCCCTACAAAATATTTATTAAGTGATTATGCTGGACTCTCTGATAAGTGCTTTCTAGGCATATTCTCACTCCCTGTGTTTACAGATGATGAACTGAGATTCAGAGAAGTTAGTGATATTATTACATAGCCAGGCAGGGGGATTCAAACTCATGTGAGTCCTAAACACTCCACTCTATTGCCCCCTCATGTAGAAAAACCATGGTGTAAAGGGGCATGTGGTTTTATTCCTACACATAAAAAGTTCACATAAAATAATACATATTTTAAAAATACACTGAAAGTCATTACAAAATATTTTTTAAAATACACTGAAAATCAGTATAAAATGAGTTTTTAATTTAGTTTTTCATAAATATAGGTCATATTTTCCTTTAGCCTAGTTTCGCTAGCTTTAGAGTACACAAAATTATAAATTCACATATTAGTTTTCATTGTTATTCATTAACTTTTAAAAATAAAGTTTATTCTGGAATAGTTTTAAATATATAGAAACGTTGTGAAAATAGTAAAGAGAGCGCATATATACCCTATATTCAGTTTCCTCTTTTATTAACATCATACATAAATATGGTACACTTATCACACACAATTAATGAACTAATATCAACAAATAATTAACTAAAGTACGTGTTTTATTCAGATTTCTTACACTTCTTCACTTACTGCTTTTTTTAGAGAGAGAGAGAGAGAGAAGGGAGAGGTGGGGGTGGGGAATATCAATTTGCTGTTTCACTTATTTATGCATTCATTGGTTGATTCTTGTATGTGCCCTACCAAAGAACAAACCTGCAACCTTGAACTATCTGGACGACACTCTAACCAACTGAACTACCCAGCCAAGGCTCAGGCTTCTTTCATTTTTATGTGCTGTCCCTTTTTTGTTCCAGGATTTCATTATTCATTAACTTTTGAAAACAGTATTTTAACATATCAGGCATTTTTTTGTAATTAACAAAATGTAGCTTTATACCTATTTATATAAATTTAAAATGTTTAACAGTTAAAATACAGACTTTTATGATGCAAGTAAACATTGAGAGTGACAGTACATGGGGGATATCATTTGGACTTAAGAATTTTCAGGGAGGAGGAAATCGTCCAAATAGAATGTTTTTAATGGTCAAATTAAAATAATGATATTGGAAATGAGAAATATGGATAAAGTATATTGGCATAGAGAGGAAGTAATTATAAAAGAAATTTTCCTGAAAAGAATTAGTACTAAAGAGAACCAAAAAATGTGGCATAGTTCATCCACTCATACTTAGAAAAATAGTCCCTGAAGTAAATCTACCATTTTCTTAAAAGTTTCTGAAGCTTTTATCTTCATTAGTTGAGTACTTCTAAGGTTGAATATACATCTACTAGAGGCCCAATGCACGAAAATTCGTGCAAGAGTATGCCTTCCTTCGCCTGGCTGCTGACACCAGCTTCCCTCTAGTACCTGGGACCCAGGGTGGCTTTCCTCCGGCCCTGGCTTTGTCAGGAAGGACATCCAGAATGACGTCCAAAGATGTCTGGTCTAATTAGCATATTGCCCTTTTATTATTAAAGATTATATACCCTGTTCCCTCTTTCTGTAATATTTAACATTTTATGTCTGAGAGTTTCATTTAGAAATTATGTGGCATATTGTGTAACAGAGGTAAAAAATAGTTGCTTCAAGAGCCTGAGCTTTTCTACAAAATGAAAGGAGAATACCACCTACGAGGAAAAGATATTTTCTTGGAGAAAAAGAGACTAGGACAAATATACCTGGTTCTCTAGTTTTGCTTTAGAAAACTGTTCTTGGAGATTGTCATTCTCATGAGCCAAGATATCTCTTT